TGGTTGTTAACAAGGCCTAAGGTACTAGTGCCATTTGGGTGTTGTGATCTCCTTAGGTCCTTTCTAGTTCTGAGTTTCTATAAATAAGAGGCTTGTTGTTCCTGGGGCTAATGAGACCTGTTAGCAGGAAGGGTGCTTGGTCCACGTTGAGGCCTAAGTATCTTTTACCCTACAGTATTGCATTAGCACCCTCTAACTGTTCTCCCTTCAGTCTGGTTTACCTCCCTGCTGTTCAGCTTCTTTACTATCACCAGACTCATCTTACTAAAATACAGAGCTGAGGGTGCTCAGCTGCTTAAACATTTTTAATAGTGTCTCATTTTCTGTCAGGATTAATTCCAACTTTTTTGCATGTCACACTAACCCTTTACTCTTTGGCCTCTTCCTGCCTTGCTGTATTTTATTTCTCATTAATACATGATTTCGTAGAGTGCATCCTACTGTACTCATAATCCTTCATGCATTTTTCTTTGTTCTTATTGTGGCTGTCTCTTCCACTTTAAAGAGCTTTTCCAAGTGTGTTTTACTTACCCAGGAAGACCCTACAAAATAATAGACAACTCGTTCCTCCAAGTACATCCCTGTACTTGCTCTCTATCAGTAGATACTCATTCTCTTCCTTGAGAGAGAAACAAACTCCCTTCTCCTTTAGGGACCTGAGCCAGTCACTCTTCTGCCTGAAATTCTATTCTCCTTCACCCGCAGACCTCTTGTAAATCCGTTAGGTCTCTTGTCAGGTCAACTTCCTTAGGGAATCTCCCCCGACCCAAGATTAGATTAAGATATTTTCCTTGGTAAATGATTGCCTAGCATCTTGTAATTTTCTTATGGAAATTGTCCTGCAATTGTAATTATAGAGCCTTTTAAGAATTATTAATTCACTGATTGTTTTCCTCGATAGAGTTTAAACTCTATGAGATCAAGGGTCCATGTTGATCACTGTGCTAACCTCAGTTCTCACCACAGTGACCGGTACACATCAGGAGCTTAACAAATGTTTGCATGAATGAATAAAAAAGCAAAATCTTTCCTGATGCCCTAGGAGGTATGCTGGGCATTCCTTCTTGTGGCCTCTCATTTTATATCCTACATTCTTGTGTTACAAAACTGTGCCCTCTGTCTGAATTCACTGAGAAGCTGGTATGTCTTACTTTTGTGTCTCTCTGTGCCAGGGGTGTTAACTACATTGGTTATAAGAATCCTAGTTCGTTTTTGTATCTCTGCCCTTATTACCTCTTCCTTATACTGTCGATAGGGTGTGATGATTTTTTGAATTCTAAATTGTAGTATACAGTTTTTATTACTGATTTTTATCAGAAGCACCATGCTCTTGTCATGCCTTAAACTTTAGGGGCTAAAGGGTCAACATGGCAATGTTAGCATTGTTGTTCCTTCCAAGAAACATAGATTCAACACCTACTGAATTCGTATGATTTATTAATCTCTGCTTTTTAGTAGACTTTGTTAGATTTATGTTCTTATATGATTTTTAATCTTGTAGAAAAAATTCCTATATATATTGAATAAATGCTAAAAATAATTTTACAATGAAGTGGGAAAGTGATTTAATATATAGAATCTTATTTTACTGCCCCTTTTCCCCAGTCATGCTTATATTACTCAAATCATAGTACCTTTTTAACAAGCAGCTTTATTAAGGTGTAATTTATATACCATAAAATGGACTTTCTTGTGTGTAAAAATTTTCAGTAAATTTACAAAATTATGCAGCTTGGGTTGTGGGGTTTTGTATTTTTTTTCTCATTGAATTTGTTGGTACTTTTAGGTACACAGTACAGTTACATCCATAATTGGGATCTTGTACCTTTACATGACAGGTCTTGGTTCTCATTTTGTCCACATACCCCTGCCCTCCCTTCACCCCCTCCTCCCTTCCCTATTTACAAAAATTTTTTTTCCATTTTTTTGTTTTCTCATATTTTTTTCCCCTTATTTCCTTTCCCCTACCATTCCCATTTGCCCTGCACCTTTAGCCCTTTTCTTTCTATTTCACATGGTCAGTTATACCATTTGGATCTTATTTACACTTTAAGTTTTTCACACCAGACAAAGTTTGGTATTTACACAATATTTTAAAGACATTTGGGCGTTTTGTTGTTGCTGTTTCTTCAAAAGCCCTGTCACCACCCCTTGGCTCATGTGATGTGGCATCAGTAGCATTTTATTTGGTGGTACTGATGGAATATTGGAAGAGTGAGCTCATATCGGAGTGAGCAGTTTGAGCTGTAAGAAAGGCAATAGAGTGGACAGCTGCCTTCTTCAGATTGACTTGGGCCAGTGTGGCTGCCACCGCTTGTGTGGTAGTGTAGGGGAAAAGCATGAAGTAGGGTGGGAAATAAGATGAGGGTGGAGTGGGAGGAGAGCACCAAGGGGAAGGAGGGAAGCCGAAGGGATGGCGGGCTTAATGGGAAACCCATCAGGGTTCGAAGAAGATACGAAACGCTGGATGAATTTTCTGAGTCAGAGCTTATTTGTTAAAATCCGAGAATGGAAAATCTGTCTCTTGGGTCAGGTTTTGGGAGCATTCTAGGCTATTTCCTCAAGTATTCCTTTTTCTATTTTGTCATCCTTTGCCCCTTCTTCTGAGTTTTATTTATTTTCATGTCTTACCCCGTGGGTTCTTCTTTAGTCTGTGGTGTGTTGTGTTTACTGTGTGCTGAGGAATGCCAGAGTGGCTTGGTGCTCCTAAAGCGCACAGGGGAGGAAGCATTGTTTGCCTTAGGAAGATTCTGTTCAAAAGCTCCTTAGACAGCAAATGATTCACTGCTCGTGAGCAGAAATAGGGAAGTAGGATTTTGAACCGCAGGTACAAATACTATGTTAGCCTTTGGCTTTTGTCATCAAAATGGAGGGCCTGAATCATGACTTCCATTTTCTTTTTTAGCTTTTTTACAAGTTTCTATAGAATTTTTTGATAGTCTGAGTTATGGGTCATTAGTGTGAGTTTCTGGTTTTCTTAAAAAAAAAAAAAAATGTAGCACTTGATTTTAATGCCAAGCTAGAAAGACACTGCCACGGCCGAAGGCATCTTTGCCCATCTGAGGAATTGGAATCCAGTTTGTAAAGCAGGGTTGAACAGCCTTCATGGTAGAGAGCCATAACTAGGTGTGTTTTCTGTGTCTCTGTCTCATGTAACTTTATAAAGTACGATTATAAAGTAAATAGTGCTTCGGTAAGATAGCACTGTTGTAGTAAGATGGAGATGTGGCAGAGTAAGAACATAAAAAATTTTCTAATAAATGAATGAATAAATAAATAAATGGAATGTGATGGATAAATAAATACATGTGTTGGATGTGAATACACCTGATCCTTTGTTTCTTGTGAGATTTAAGCAGCCGTTATTGAATGTCAGAAAGTAAAAGGTGAAAAATCCTTTTTAATTTCTTTCTATAATCTCCCTTTGAATGGTAAATAAATCTGAGCTTTATATGTTATCTTTTTCTTCATTTTCCAACCACTTCCATTTTTCCCTTTCCTAAGAATGAGACTGTCTCAAATCCAAACATGAACGTGAGTTCTGTGCCAGGCACAGAAATGTGCTGTTATTACGCATGGTAAGGCTGGCTTTAGAGGAAATTGAATTTAATATTGCTGTCCATTTTATTCACAACTCCTCTGTTCCCTCTAGTTTTCTTCACAGGATTTTTACTTCTGAGAAAGAGAAAAATGAATTATTTCACTTACACAAATATTAAAGAGTGAGAATGGACAGAGATGTCTGTAAAGCCTGGGATTGCTTCTTCAGCCTCTGTTTTGAAACTGAAGCTCCTACAATTAAAAAAAAGATCAAAAGTATATAGTTTAATGTTTAAGATCTGTTAAATGCTCAAAATGCAATGATCTATTATTTGATAAATTTCTATTAATCATAAGCATAAAATGCATATTTCTTTTGTAAAACCTAGGGTGAATACATCACAGTGTAGGTAACTAAAGTAGCCTCCTTTCTGACATTGCTTTCTCGCTTCCCCTACATAGCTCAGAGATAGAAATTGTAGTCACCCTAATTAGTATCAGTAAATGTGTGTTTGAGGGTTTTGCAATGGAGACCAAGTAGTTCAAGTGAAATTCAACATTTAGTGAATAGCTGTTTGTGTGTATTAAGCAGTGTGACAGCTGAACTTTGTGTTCACTTCAAATAGCTGAAAAACTTAGCTTCATTTTTTAACTGAGATGAACTAAAAGAAAGACTCTTCAGCCACACAGGGCTTCTTTCACTGCACAGTCCCTTTGGTTCTTAATTCATTAAACCTAGCTGAAAGAAGTCCAGAGAGATATATTTTAGGTCAGATTTGAGTCTCTAGATACTAGTGTTCAAGTTTACTTAGTTGGGAACAGTATTTACATTTTGGAGGGCCTTGAGTAAATTCTGTGTGTGTCCAGATGTGAGTGGCCACCCCTGTGCAGAGACGTCTGTGCTACTTAATCTTTCCATCGATTGTTAACCAAGGTTACTAATATTAGTTGTTGCCCATTCTCTTTAGAAAAAGTGAGTCATAGCCGGAGGCATTTTTTTCCTCTACTATCCATCCTAGTTTTCCTAAAGTAGGAAACAACCTTTAAAAGAATTTTTTTTCTGTAGGTGGCAAAAAGAAAAGGGGGTACATAGCAGGTAGAATAATTTGGGGTTTGTTTTTTTTTTGATTGATTGTTTTTTAGTACTAGTAGAAGGCATTGGTCAAAGTACACCACCGACTTGAAGCTCAGTCTACCAAACGTTAAGAGCGTCCTTCACGAGGCCCAGACATGGTACCCACACTCAGATGCCCAGTTACTCCTCAGCATTGTGTGGACCTAGAAGCACCCTAGATTCCTAGTTGTCTACCACCTAGGGCTTATATTTGGAAATCTGGAGACACCCCCCTCCCCGCCCCCAGTGCTGTTGTGCATGTAATTGAAGTTAGAGGACGTGTTAGGAAAAGCTGTTCTGAGTAGAAAACAAATAATTGTATTCTGTTTCTGATCTTCATTTATAGCACCAGCAACAAGTGGTGCAGGCTGTGGAACGGGCCAAGCAGGTGACCATGGCAGAACTGAACGCCATCATTGGGGTACGTGGCCTTTCCATTTTAGCTCTGATCTTAGTGTTTGTCGTCAGCTCTCTCGCTCTCTTTAGAAATTTTTTTGTTCCACCAGAGGGACAAAGCATAAGGCGACCCCAAAGTGAAATTGAGCATTTTGATTTCAATCTCTTGAAGGTTCATGGCTGCCTTAGACTTTGGATCCCATTCTCACCAAATAAAATTGATGTGTTTCTATAAACTCTTACTAAGGAGACGGATTAGTTTTGCTTTTTTTGTATTTCTTCCCTTTGTAATCAGCTTCTGTTGCTAATCTAGGCCAGAAGAAATGGTGCCTATTGCTCTGAAATGAAAGTAACCTGACTTCTTTTATCTTCTTTCAAATGATAGAGAGTATCTTTATAGCATCTTCAGTGAAATAAATATTTTCACATCTCCCCTACTACATTTTGTCCCGTGATTAGTGTTTCTTATGAGTTAGCATCCATTTATAGCAGGAATAATAGATAAACTGCATTTTTTGAAAAATCGATATCCTAGTTAGAAAATCCTTCCTAGCAGTAGTCATATAAATCTTGAATGAAAAGCCTGCTGGAATTCATGGGTTTGGGCAGTCCCTTCAACTCCTCTTGTGTTTTTGTTTTCTCACATTAAGGTAACAAGTAATAAAATACTGTGCTAAAACAAATAATAATAATAATGGGGGGAAATTTTGGCTGTGAAGAGCACTGTATTCACCTCTGTGCAGGTAATATCATCAGTTCCCTACCACTATTCTGATAAAGACCTCTCTAACTGCACTTTCCTTTCTGCCCCTCCTGAATATGTACTTTCTTTTGTGTATAGATTACACACAAAAGTCTTTTCTCTTTTTTCCCCTCAGTGTATCAAACATACTTTGAAATGCTAATTATTCCATTTACTTGCATTAAAATTCAAATTGCTGAGTGAAGATGGGGATAAGGGTCGCCTGATAATCAATCTGAAGTGAAGACACCGCTTCAATTATGCCTCTGTCTTTTAAGGAGAAAATCAGAACTCTGGGATCTCAGCCGATGGTGGGGACCCGGTAGTCTGATTGTAGCTTGTTTTTTAATGGGCTGTTTGCAGCTCTATCTTATGTCCCTCTGACCATAGAAAAAAATGGTAGTAAATTAGCAGACATGACAAATGGAAAAGAGTAACCTTTATTTCCTTCTGACGGCTCCTTGAAAAGAAGAGGCTGAATCAGAACAAGCCACGTAGAATCGAAAATAACATTTGGCAAACATTTCCTTTGCTAGATGGGAGTAGGTAGATACTAGAGATGAATACATTTCACAATTAGCTATTTCCTGAAACGCCAGAAAGCAACAATATGTTCAGTTTTTTTTTCCTATTTTAGAAGTTGAGCATCTGCGTATGTACCACCCATGCTAGCCTGAAACGTTTTCATGTGCGTGTTGCATTCATCTAGGAAGGTATGGGTATTTTTGTTATAAAATCTCCCACGGCTCAGAAGCGAGAGCACCTACATTTCTCATCTACTGTACAGTCTGGTGTTTAGAGAGAGGAAATACAGTGATACCTGGTAAATAGAGCCCACAAGCTCCTGCCTAGCTTAGTGTTTATCTTTGTATGAATGGCTTGGACACAGCCAGCCATCCTTATGTGGGTGGCAGGTTTTGCCAGGAAAGTGGACTCTTTTTTTTTTTTTTTTT